CACATGCCCCCACATAATACATGTAAAATGTGTTCTATACAATGCTATACAGGCTTCCTCTGGATCCAAAATCCAAAGCTCTAAGGAGAGAAGAAACTTAAAAGGAAATGACAGGAATTAAAACCTCAGCAAAGAGAGCTGGAGAGATGACTCATGGTTAAGAGCACTTGCTGCTCTTCCAACGGACCCAGGGTCAATTCCCAGCACCCACATGACAGCTCACATTGTCTGTAACTCCAGTTCCTGAGGATCCAAAACCCTCACAAGACACACATGTAGGCAAAATATTAATGCACATAAAAATAAATCATAAAAAAACTCAGCAAAGATTGCTAACACAGCTGGCTCAAGCCTATAATCCCAGAGTTTGAGAAGTAGAGACAGGAATCAAACACTTTAGGTTATTCTCAGTTACAAGGGAGTTAGTTCTGGGCTAACCTGAACTACATAAAACCTCAACTCAAAAAACAAGGCAGGAGTGGTGCACAGACATACATTCAGGCAAAACACTAAGACAAAAAAAAAATCTAAACAGGAGGCAAACTGATTGCAACTACATCAGACTACATCATAATAATCAAAGTAACAACAATTCCTAATGTAGAAAATGAAAGGATCTGACTGCATCATCTACATTCCAGGGATATTCCAGCAGAATGTTTTTCTCTCTTAACATTCTTCCTTTGGGGAGGGTGTACTGGGAAACTGAACCAGGAGACTCCAGTAGGCTAGGTGAAGAGGCAGCAAACTGGATTTTGAGCTATATCCCAACCCTTAAGATTGCCTCAGAAAATCCATGACTTTATATTTGGAGACATTTTTAGAAAGCTCCTAGGCCACTGGGGTGAAAGTAAGGCAGATAGGTTTGTCTGCCTTAGAAACAGAAAGCAGAATGCTGGTTGCCAAGGTAGCACAGGAAGAGGAACAGGGCTGTTCAGAGGACAGAGTTTCAGTTCTGCAGGAAGGAAAAGCCTCAGAGATCTGGGGCATAACCACGTGTGTACTGTTAAGCAAACCGTTTCCTACACCCTAACCATTGTTAGGATGGCAAATCTTTTCAACTACAATTTAAAAAGAGGAAGGTTTGCCCGTCAGTCCTCACAACATGCTTGGCATTGATAGCCCTTCCTAAGTGTTTGTGACTGAATCAAAGGCAAAGAATTAGGACGGGACTCTGGGTGCATTATGGAGGCCGAGGCAGGTGGATTTCTGTAAGTTAAGCCAGCCAGGGTTATACAGAGAAACTGTTTGCTTGCTTGCTTGTGTTTTTAAAGGGAGGAGCAGAAAGGAGACAAGTGACTAAAGACTGACTTGCACTTAAATTATAAAAATACATAAATTTAGAAAAACTTCACAAATCTAGGTGGTCATAGATGCTCCAGTCTCTAATACCAGCACCTAAGAGGCTGACACACGAGGAACTGAAGGCCAGCCTGGGCTATATAGTGAGTTCCAGGTTAGCCTAGGGTATAGTGTATAAGCCTGTCTTTTAAAAAAAAATTCATAAATCTTTATAGGAACAAAATGACAAGCTGGGCAGGCAGGGCTAGCAAAGGGTCTGTCCTACCTGACCTACTGTATGCTATAAACCCCAGCTAACATATATTAAAAGTCTTTAGGTCTTACCTTAGAAGTATTTTAGAATCTGCTAGGGATTTTAATCCTGTTTTGCTTTTTTTTTCCCCTCCCTACTAAGATAGCTGCTACCAGCTGTAGGGCCTTATTGCCCCCAAACCCAGCTCTTTGGGAAGCTGCAAATACTCTTGACATTGTGACATCAGTATTAACGTTCCTAAGTGAAGGGAGAGAAGCACTCCACATGTTGGAGATAGACAGGCAGTCAAATGCCTCTAATCTGATAAAAACAAGTGTGTTATAGTGCTATCATTAGCAGCCCTCAGAAACAGTTGGGGAAGAGAAACAACTATTTTGAGAACAGAGTCCTGGGATAACAGCATCCTGTTAGCAGTAATGAGCACATGAGCACACAATAACTCTACAAGCGCAGAGATTAGACTTGGCTTTCCACCAATGATCCTGCCTGCCTTCTGTAGTGTCACGGCTACATATAACTACATGAGGACTTCTCCCACCTTGGTGGTGCTGGGGTGTGAAATCAGGATTCCATACATGCTAGGCGAGCACTCACAAGCACTCTACCTGGCACGACAGCCCCAGCCCTCTTCCCCATTCTTGAATAAATGGAATTCCCTTCCCTAGGATCTGCCTCACTTCTGGCTTCTAGACTCAAGAAACATTGTTCACCACTTTTAACCTTGAAAGAAGATGAAAGAGGGTGAGGACAACTTGTTAATCTTTCCTTTTCTGACTTCCTCATGCACTGCAATGGGCTTTTATTACTGGCTGGTGGCTACTACTTGGACAGAACTCCTGCGGCTGACCTTCCCAAGCTGCTGGGGATGAACACCGCACGTGGCTTTCAGGTTATCCAGAGCTTACAGTGGTAGGATCATCTCCTTTCATTAACATGCAGAACATAATACACGGACTGTTCTGTATAAAAATGACACAGTAGAATTATCATGAACTGGTCCACAGGAAAAGGGAGGATCAATAAATACCTCACAGACAGCTCCAGTACCAAAAGAACAGGAATCTTCTCTGCTCTATAGGCAGAGGAAAAAAAAGAAATGAGAGCCATTTATAAAGGCGGCTTTAAGTATGAGGATGGAGTCACACAGCTGGCTTCACAAAAGAGAACAAATATTTCAAAGGGAACAACTGACAGATTAATAGAGTACTATCCATCTGGCTGCAGGAAGAGCCACTGGGGGGAGTACTGAGAAGGCTCTCTGCTAGGAAAAAGCTTGCCTTGCCTGCTGCCTCGCTGGGTAAACCGAATAGCTTTCAAGAACACTGGAACACATGGTCGTAATACAATAGCTGGCTGGTCCTGCCAGTAAAAAACTCACAAGAGCTACAGTGATGCACTGGCAAGGAAGGAGAACAGAACACACATAGCTTCACTGGTTTGGAATTTATTCCTTGGCTTTTCCAACTTAGAACGATGGGACACAAGAAAGAGAATTAGGTATTTATGTGCGTATGTATGTATTATGTAGAGCAAGTGAGCGTGTGTGGAGTGTCTTTTTTCAAATGATTCTACTTTGTGTGTGCACACACGTGCACATGCCTCTCACTGAACTTAGAGTTCACGTATGCAACCAGACTGGTTGGCCAGCAAGCTCCAGGGATCCATCTACCTTGGCCTTCCTAATGCTGGGATTACAGGCATGCCTAGCTTCTTTATGTGTATACTGGGGCTTGAAACAGCAAGTGCTTCTCTTCACCCAACCAAGCCATCTCCTCATCATCTTATTTTGTGCCTTTGATGCAAGACTCAAAAGTCTCTGAATGAAGCAGCAAGGTGGGGCACACCTGCCAGAGAGCCAGGAGCTGAGGGTCATCTTCACCTACACAGTGAATATAGCTATATGAGCTAAATTAGGCTATATGACCTGGTTTTATGTATTTTCCTATGTAAACAGTACTTTTATATAAAGTTATGCACTTATCAATTATTATTCTTTTTTTTAAATATTTACTCATTTATTATGCATACAGTATCTGCCTACATGTGAGCCTGCAGGCCAGAGAGGGCACCAGATCTCATTACAGATGGTTTGAGCCACTATATGGTTGCTGGGAATTGAACTCAGGACCTTTGGAAGAGCAGGCAATGCTCTTAACCACTGAGCCATCTCTCCAGCCCCCATCAATTATTATTCTAATACAAATCCTTATTTAAGTCAGGTAGTGGTGGTGTACATTGTTAGTCCCAGCACTCAGGAGGCAGAGGCAGGCAGATCTCTATGAATTTGAAGCTAGCCGGTCTACAGAGCTAGTTCTAGGATAGCCAGGGCTACACAAAGAAACCTTGTTTTGGGGGAAAAAACAAGCAAGCAAGCAAGCAAACAAACAAACAAAACTATGTCTTCCAACAAACAAAAATCCCACTTATTTAAAAAAGAAGAAGAAGGGAGCTGGAGAGATGGCTCAGCGGTTAAGAGCATCGCCTGCTCTTCCAAAGGTCCTGAGTTCAATTCTAGCAACTACATGGTGGCTCACAACCATCTGTAATGAGGTCTGGTGCCCTCTTCTGGCCTGCAGGCAGACACACACACAGAATATTGTATACATAATAAATAAATAGAATATTTAAAAAAAAAAGAAGAAGAAGAAAAAGCCTCAGAAGGAAATGCTAGTTTCAACTCCATGCCATGATGCAGCCCCATTTGTACTTTCAGATAATGCAGAGCTGAGTACAGGCAATAGGGGGGAAGGGGAATCAGGCCAGACTCAGGTAAACAAATGTATGAGGCTGTCTGCATCTTCAACTCAGACAATACCACAGAAAACCTGCTCAGAAATAACTGTCCAAGGGAAAGACAACTCAATCACTAAAGAAAAGCTATCTCAATGAGAGCTGATGCTTCAATGAGCCACACACCTTCAGTTTTCCTGTGGCAGGAATTTGTGTTCATTTCTAAGTTCTCATGCCTTATTTATTTATTTATTTGTTTGTTTGTTTGTTTGAGTTCTTAAGAGAGGGTGGCACACAGCCCAGGCTGTCCCTGAATTCACTATACAGCCTAGGACAACCTAGGATAACTTGAACTCCTGCCTCCATCTTCCAAGTGCTAGGATTACAGGTATGCAACATCATGTTGACATTTCTGACTTTCAGAAATCAAAATAACTGATTGAGAGCTTAAAAAGTAATATTTTATCACCTGCTGCAAGACAGTAACTCATCAAATTTTATCTCATATTCTCTATATAATTAAACAAATCCTTCAGAAGACACAAATGAAGAAGGTATTACTCTATTTAAAGAATCAGCACGCAATCTTGCATTAACTCTTCTCAGCAGCCTGGTTTTAGCTCGAAGCTCAGTCACAGGATCCCATTAGCAGAAGGAAGACAGCTACTTGCTCTCCACCACCAGGGAGGCCATTCCACAGAGAGGAGTGACTTACCTGTTCTTCCGAGAGTTGAGATATGTGATTCACAGCAGCGTAGGACTCAATTTTGGGATTAAAGTGATTGATGATGGCTCTGAAATAAAGAATTAACATTAAGATGGTCCCAGATGGAAGATAATGATCATCCAATTAATAATGAGTGAGTGCGCCTTGGGTTAGTTTTTGTCTTGACACAAGCTACAGTTATCTGAGAAGAGGAAACTCAATTGGGAAGATGCTTCTATCAGATTGGCTTGTAGGCAAGTCTGAAGAGCATATTCTTGATTAATGTTTGATGTGGGAGGGACCCTGACACTGGAGGTCAGTGGAACCCCTGGACTGGTGGTCTTTAAAACTACAAAGGAATGATGGAGGACTGGAGAGACAGTTCAGTGGTCAAGGGCACCTGCTGTTCTTACAAAGGACCTAGGCTCAGATTCTAGCACCTGCACTGGGTAGCACATGACTGTCTCTAACTCCAATTCCAGGGAATTTGATACCCTCCTCAGGTCTCTGAGGACACTGCATGCACTTGGCACACACACAGAAATAAAAATTAAAATTAGAAAGAGAAGCATGCCAAGTAAGCAAGCTAAGCAGAACTCCTCATGTCTCTTCCAGTTCTTGCCGTGAGATTCATGTCTTGAGTTCCTGCCCTGACTTTGCTCTGATGGGATGACCTGCGAGAGCTTTAATATCAAATAAACCCTTTCCTCCTCAAGTTGCTTTTGGTCAGGGTGTTTATCATAGCATTAGAACAAGGGTAACTGCCCTTTTCCTAAACATGAGGTTACAAATGAAAGTGTACAGGAAACTGAAATGGGAAGGATTTAACAAGTTACCGAAGCTAGGCAGAGTGGTGCACACCTTTAATCCAGTACTCAGAGGGGAGACAGGCAGATTTCTGAGTTCACCCAGCCTGCTCTACACAGAAAAACCCTGTCTTGAAATCCCCCCACAACCTCCCCAAAAAGTTATTGGAAAATTCAGTCAAACGTTTCTGAAGTGGAAATGAGCTACAGAGAAAAGCACACAAGTAAAAAACAAGTCACGCTAAGATTCCTTGAAATGAAAAAGTAGCCAGGCACTGACTGTCCACTAGGGGGCGTGGTGTTCCAGTTGGATTGAGGTGTATCGCATGGGTACTCGGTGGAGTTAGACCAACACTAGATGAAATACAGTCACTGAAAAAGCTAAGCTTTACCAAAGCTGACATTCAGTTCTCAAGCTTGCTAATGTGTAGATCCAAACCAAAACTTAAATTCCAGGCCTTGGACCCAAAATCAGAGCATCACTTTCCCCGTGATCAATTGTGCTCATCCAAAGTCACCACATCTTATTAAATCTACCTCAAAAAAATCTCTGGGGAGCCAGGGAAAAGTGCTTGTTAAGCAAATGTGAGAATCTGAGTTCAGAGCCCCAGCACCAGCAATAAAGCTGAGCATACTTGTGTGCCTCTGAAATCTGAGTACGGGGGGGAGGAGGGTGCAGAGACAGGGGGCTGGCCATCAGTCAGTGTAGTGAAAAATAATGAATTCTGGGTTCAGTGAGAGGTATTTTAAATTAGGTTCCCATGGTTACAATAGTGACAGGGATGGCTATGAAGGCTGCTCCACAAAAGGAAACACTGTCTAGTACTGTAAATCTAACCAAGAACCCAAGGCTTGAGAGCTCGCAAGTCCCAGGATGAACCCTACCACTATTATTCTGAAAATGGATAAAATGGACTTATGGTCAAACTGTCCTACAGTTTTGTATCTCTCTACCCCCAGATTAGCATAGCTCTCAGACTTCACTAGAGTCGTTTCTCTGTTGGAGGGTGGGCTATGCAGAAACTCAGTATCCAAAGCAGACCCCTCCAAAGGTTCAGGGACCATCGTGCAGAAGGAGTGGAAAGATTCTAAGAGCCAGAGAGCAGGAAGAATGAGAGCAGGCACAGCAGTATCACCTGAACCACATCACCCAGGAACTCACAGCAGCTGGAGTTGCCTGCATAAAACCCAGCCATTCAACTTTCCTGCACGGAATGGGAGGGGCCCATGAGTCCCCACTACAGCTGAGGAACTGGGGACAGGTGGTGGTTTCTGGAGGAGGAGGAGTGAATTTTCTTTAAGGGTGTGCTCCTGGTAAGTTGGTTACACTCTAGTAATGGCCTCACCTAGGGGTTTATGGGCAGTGCAAATTGTAGTCAATAGGTTATTAAAAAAAAAAAGAATAAAAAGGATACAAAGTTAGGGAATATTAGGAAGTAGAAATGGATCTGGGAGGAGTCAGAGGGAAGAATGTGTGTGTGGTGAATATGACTGAAATACACTGTATAAAATTCTCAAAGAATTAACAAAAATATTCAAAAAATATAAAGTGAAGAAGCAACTAAGGAAAACATCTTGATGTTCACCTCTGGCCTCCACATGTGCCCACGTAGGTGAGTGAACCTACACAGATGCTTAACACATTCACACAGGATGGGCGGTGGTGGCGCATGCCTTTAATCCTAGCACTCGATCTCTGAGTTTGAGGCCAGCCTGGTCTATAGAGTGAGTTCCAAGACAGCCAGGGCTATGAAGAGAAACCCTGTCTTGAAAAATATGAGAGAGAGAGAGAGAGAGAGAGAGAGAGAGAGAGAGAGAGAGAGAGAGACAGAGAGAGAGAGAGAGAGACAGAGACAGAGAGAGACAGAGAGAGACAGAGAGACAGAGCTTTCCCTGATTTTCTCTTCTGGTCCCAGGTACTTCAGGAGCCCAAGGATCACACCATAGACAACCAATCTTGAAAATGGCACAGAAATGGCATCAAGAAACCCCAGTCACAAAGACATGACTCTCTTAAGGGTGTTGACCCCAAGTTCCTAAGGAACATGCATGCGCTTTGCCAATAAACACCACAAAATGGGCTGAGGAAGATGCAGGCAAACAAGGCTAAGGAAGTGAGTGGACATGCAGAGACCATCAAGGCTCTGTGATCCTGAGGTGGTTAAAGCCAGGATGCCAAAGGCCCCAGCTGCAAGCTCTGTCTGTTGTCATGGCTCACCCAACCTTGTGAAGCAGATTTGAGGCTACATGCTTATTAGTCACAGGCTCTTGCTAACTATAGTCCAAGGCTTAAACCATAGCCAAGGTTCCAGATCCAGGTCAGCCTTCAGCTCCTACTCCCGTCCCAAGTGCCCTGGTCCCTGTGAAAGCCCCACAGAAAAGGCTTCTTGTACACCTACAATTGGATATATGGAGGAAAAAGCTCAGTCTTTACTGTATAGTGTGGGAAACAGAGGAAGCCCTAGGTGTTCGAGGTCCTGAGAGATGTGTATTACTGACATGGGCATGGCCATGTCAAGGACCCCATGGGGAAAGACAACATCTTCCTCTGCTCCTACAGGATCCAGCCATGACAAGCTCAACAGAGGCCCCAGTCTCGGTAGTTTACCTTAAGGCAATACCTGGTTCCAAGAAAGAACACAAACTGAGACCACCTAGGCACCACCCAGGATCAGACCATCCAAAGGAAATTCCTAATGTTCCAACCATTTTAGATAGGATCACCTCCCAGCTTTTCACCAGGACACCCCTAGACAAATGTCAGCCAATCCGGGGTCCTGAACCTTAGAAATCCCTCACCCCTGCCTTCGCTATTATAAAAACCCAACCTAAACTGAGTTCGGGGCTCTCCCATCACTCCAATATGTTGGATCCACAGTGAGTCAGAGTTTGCAAACTTGTGTAAGAATAAAGGCTCTTTGCTTTTACATACAGGACTCAGTCTCCTGGTTGGTTTTGGGGGGATTCTGTGATCTGGGCATAACACTCCCTGAGTTGATTGTGAGTACAGAAGATGTTCATCATAGTTTTCCCCCAGATATCTACAGCCTGAAGAATAGTCCCTTAGAGACTGTTCCTACCAAAATTAGTTGAACCTACCTCCCTTGATTCAACTCGATACTGTGAATCCTGCCTCTTCTGTTTATCTGCATGTAAAACCCCACCTCCTTGTTCAGTTCTATATAATAAATGCACTAAGGTTCCAGGGTGCCGTGCTTTCTGTAATGGTCTATCCTGTTCCTTTAGGAGACAAGCCCCACCTACTCACTCTCCTGTCCACCAAAACAAGTGGAGCTTCTTTGTAAAAGGAATGGAGGGCCGCTTTCCGCCGCCCGCCCGGCTAGCTTTACCTAAAATAATTACACATAAATTGTATTTTTTAAAACATTGTTTGGCCCATTATCTATAGCCTCTCATTGGCTAACTCTTACATATTGACTAACCCATATCTAATAATCTGTATGCCATCACGAGGTCGCAGGTTAAGATCCTTCCTGGTAAGCCACCACCTCGCGGTGGCATACACATTAATAGAAATGGGTTAATCAAGATGTGAGAGTTAGCCAATAAGAGGCTAAAACTAATAGGCCAAGCAGTGTTTAAAAAAATACAGATTCCATGTAATTATTTCAGGGGTAAGCTAGCTGGGATCCGGGCGGACACGCAGCCCGCCGCTTTTACACTTCTTCCTTTTCCATATCTCTCCTGAAAAGGTAACTTCTCCTCTCCCCCCATTCTCTCTCTCTCTCTCCCTCTCTTCACCTCTCTCCTCACCCCCTTCTCCTTCCCTCTCTCCTTTCCCCTTCCCTTCCATAACTTGCTTCTCAGGGAACGATGCCATTTTATCAAATTAGAACAGCCCTGCGTTCTATCTGCATGAACCCCGACCTCTACGCACACCAGCAGCTTTGGTGGTGAGTTTTCCCCTTCCAGTCAGCTAAACCCGAGGAATTGACCGTTGAGCTCCTGGCAATCCCCTAGTGTTCCTAGAAATGGGGGGAATGCTCCCAACCACAGCCTTCATGGCTACAGTTGAGCCCTTGGCTGACACTCATCTCTGGTTGTTTCCCACAGATAAAAACGTGCCTGGACAACCCAGGGTGGTCCTCGCGCTAGCACAGAGCAAGCTGAGCAGTGCGTTTGCTTTAGGGTCTGGGGTCCCTCAGATTTTCCTTTCTCTTTCTTTTCTTTTGGACAGCTCTCAAGTGGTCCCCGCTGTGAGAGACTGTTCAGGACGGCCTCTAGCCTCTGGCTTCCGAGTCGCCTGAACCCAGAATCAGTC